GAGGAGGAGGAGGATGGTGGGTGATGGTGAGGAGGAGGAGGAGGAGGAGGATGGTGGGTGATGGGGAGGAGGAGGAGGAGGAGGAGGATGGTGGGTGATGGGGAGGAGGAGGAGGAGGAGGATGGTGGGTGATGGGGAGGAGGAGGAGGAGGAGGATGGTGGGTGATGGTGAGGAGGAGGAGGAGGAGGAGGATGGTGGGTGATGGTGAGGAGGAGGAGGAGGAGGAGGATGGTGGGTGATGGGGAGGAAGAGGAGGAGGAGGATGGTGGGTGATGGTGAGGAGGAGGAGGAGGATGGTGGGTGATGGTGAGGAGGAGGAGGAGGAGGATGGTGGGTGATGGTGAGGAGGAGGAGGAGGAGGAGGAGGAGGATGGTGGGTGATGGTGAGGAGGAGGAGGATGGTGGGTGATGGTGAGGAGGAGGAGGAGGAGGAGGAGGATGGTGGGTGATGGTGAGGAGGAGGAGGATGGTGGGTGATGGTGAGGAGGAGGAGGAGGAGGAGGATGGTGGGTGATGGTGAGGAGGAGGAGGAGGAGGAGGAGGAGGATGGTGGGTGATGGTGAGGAGGAGGAGGATGGTGGGTGATGGTGAGGAGGAGGAGGAGGAGGAGGATGGTGGGTGATGGTGAGGAGGAGGAGGATGGTGGGTGATGGTGAGGAGGAGGAGGAGGAGGATGGTGGGTGATGGTGAGGAAGAGGAGGAGGAGGATGGTGGGTGATGGTGAGGAGGAGGAGGAGGATGGTGGGTGATGGTGAGGAGGAGGAGGAGGAGGATGGTGGGTGATGGTGAGGAAGAGGAGGAGGAGGAGGAGGCTGGGTGGGTGATGGTGAGGAGGAGGAGGATGGTGGTGATGGTGAGGAGGAGGAGGAGGAGATGGTGGGTGATGGTGAGGAGGAGGAGGAGGAGGATGGTGGGTGATGGTGAGAGGAGGAGGAGGAGGATGGTGGGGTGATGGGGAGGAGGAGGAGGAGGAGGAGGAGGAGGATGGTGGGTGATGGTGAGGAGGAGGAGGAGGAGGAGGAGGAGGAGGATGGTGGGTGATGGTGAGGAGGAGGAGGAGGAGGAGGAGGAGGATGGTGGGTGATGGTGAGGAGGAGGAGGAGGATGGTGGGTGATGGTGAGGAAGAGGAGGAGGAGGAGGATGGTGGGTGATGGTGAGGAGGAGGAGGAGGAGGAGGATGGTGGGTGATCGTGAGGAAGAGGAGGAGGAGGAGGATGGTGGGTGATGGTGAGGAGGAGGAGGAGGAGGATGGTGGGTGATGGTAAGGAAGAGGAGAAGGAGGATGGTGAGGAGGAGGAGGAGGAGGAGGAGGAGGAGGAGGATGGTGTTTGATGGTGAGGATGGCGTTCATGCTTACCTGACATGAGTCCTTCCCCCCTTCAGTCAGTCCGGCGCAGATCATGTTATCTGTGATGACTTGACTCCCATACGCCTTTTCACACTCCGACTGTGTCCTGATTGGCACTGTCACCTCCATGGGTTTGTCTGGATGGTATCCGCCTGGAAGGGGGAATGAAGGACATGGTAAAGAGAAGGAGAAAGAAGGACATAGGGTTGGTAAAGAGAAAGAATAGAAAGGACATAGGGTTGGTAAAGAGAAGGAGAAAGAAGGACATGGGGTTGGTAAAGAGGAGAAGGAAGGACATGGGGTTGGTAAAGAGAAAGAATAGAAAGGACATGGGGTTGGTAAAGAGAAGGAGAAAGAAGGACACGGGGTTGGTAAAGAGAAAGAATAGAAAGGACATAGGGTTGGTAAAGAGGAGAAGGAAGGACATAGGGTTGGTAAAGAAAAGGAGAAAGAAGGACATGGGGTTGGTAAAGAGAAAGAATAGAAAGGACATAGGGTTGGTAAAGAGGAGGAGAAGAAAGGACATGGGGTTGGTAAAAGTAGGAGAAAGAAGGACATAGGGTTGGTAAAGAGGCATGGGAGGTGAGATTGAAAAGTACACAGATAAATGTATTTCCTTTCAGCTTGTGTAGTGTAGAGAGGTCGATAGATAATGAATTTAGGTGGAGAATGAAGTACACAAGTTGATACGAGTAAAAGTACTTCAATATATAAGTTCGAATAGATAGGCCGATAGTTGAAATAGTAGATGAAAAATAATGTACATAGCGTAATACAGGTAATTATACATCAATAGACAACTTTGATAAGTCTATAGATAACAAATGTACAGGGAAAATACCATAGTTTGATGCAGCAAAATGTACTTCAGTAGATAAGTTTCAATAGATAGACCGACAGACTATAAATGTAGAAAAAATAACGTACATAATTTAATACAGGGAAATTGACTTCAACAGATAAGCATGAATAGATAGGTCCATAGATAAATGCATCTAAATACATAAAATTGAATAGATAAGTTGATAAAAAACAAATAGTAGATAAGCAGAAATATAGATACGAAAAATAATGAGCTAAACTAATATGAATATAAATAGATAAATAAATAAGATAAATACTGATGAATCGGTAAATAGAGACAAGAATA